TAGTTTGGTTTTTAATGCAATCCTACTAAAGTTCAAAATATCTTTGAACTTGTTGAAAGACATCCTTGTTTTGTTGATACTGTTGTTTATATCATTACGTCACCATCTTAATGGTTGACCTTGGTGCCTAAATAGGTAAACTAGACCACTTCATTTTAAAAACAAAACTGGAACACAGAATCTGCACAAGATGTGACAATAACTCAGTTGAGGATGAGTACCATTACATTATGAACTGCCCACAGCACAATAAAATGAGACAGATATATTTTACAGACTCACATGAGGATAATCCTAATTTTACTTCAATGGATCATCCCGATAAATTGATATACATTATGACAAACTGCCACATTAAGCTTGGTGTGTTTATAATGCAAACAGGTATGTATTAATAAAACACCTGATTCTGTACTACCTTGTAATTGCCTTTTAATTAATCTGTTATTTCAATTTTTTTTTTGATCCTCTTTACTTTTTTTTTATTTTATTTTACTTGACTGTGTTCATCTTCTATAGAAAGAATAATGTCAATAAAGTTATCTTATCTATCTTATCTTTAACTGGTGGCCGTCTATGACTATTTTGCTGTCGGATTTGCTGTTTAGTATCGACACTTTAGATTATAGATACTTTAGACTACATTGTTTAATCTTTGATGAAAAAAATGTATTCATTCATTCATTCATTACCCACTTACGAGTTCAACATCTTTTTTACTTGACTTGTGTTTGGGAAACTGAACGACGTGTCCATCGTATGTTGCACTTGTCCTATCGTTGGTGGCGTCCTGATTCCCCGTCCCCGATCTTAACCGTATCTTGTGTGGTCTTTTCAAACCTGCAATAGATACAAACTTTCTTTGAAACAATTCTTTTGGTAGGTTAACGTTGGATGTTGTCCCTTTTCTGTTTGCGTAGAATACCAAAGATGATAACGGTACCCCGATGTACCCATGGTTATGAATCTTGGTGTCGTTAGTAGCATCGACATCGTGCATTTAAGTATTTAAGTTAATGTCAATTTACAGGCGTCTAGTCATTAATTGAGGTTTATTCGATGTTCTCAGCAAAATAATATTCTGATCTTGAACTTCGGCAGCAGCACTAAATGACACACTTTTTTTTACCGAAGCCATCACTATTCATTGTATAAGCACCAATATAAATCACTGTAGGTCTCTGATAGATTTATCACGAGATTTGTTGAATAATAATGATTTTAATAAATATGTACGTATAGTATGTATTGTACCCTAGCAATGATAATAAATTTAGGATTATATTCAAGATTGTGGGGTTTTTAATCACGTGATATCTGTGACATTCTATTTCTATTTCAGACTTGGGCCTATACTAATCTTTACATTATTGAGAACGCATATAATGTCTCAAGAAGAAATGAAATGGTTGCATACCAAAAACAAAACAAATCAAAAATAAGACAAGATCAATACAAATAGCAATAAGTTAAATTGAAAATCTGACATTTAAACCATAAAATGGGATCTGAAAACAGAATCTGAAAAAAATGTCATCGAATTAAATACATTTACAACATAGACCTGACCATCATCACAGCTGATTCCTTTTTAGAAAAAATCAAAATACTCAGCTTCCATAAGCACCAAATTAAAATAGGTATACAAGACACAAGAGACCAATGATGATTGAAAAGCGAATTTTCATAACATTGAATTCAGAAGATGAAGTTTATCAAATCACATCTTGTAATGTTATAGTATAAAGTGGGCAGCAATATACATTAGAATTATTGATAAGTTTCCTTTCTTCAAATCATATACAATAATACCGTTATTACAAATATCAACACAGACGACTACAAACTTATCAGATATCTAACTTGCTAAGTGAAACTATGTTATAAGAAACACGACAATTTCAGTCTTCAGTCTTTTTATTTATTTTTTTATATCAAGATATTGAAGATTTACACCTTTTTCTATGTTGTTGCTTATTTACTATAATTTTATCTTGTCTAAAACTAATTTCATTACGGTTTAAATACAAATTATTATTAAATACTGTACTGTAGTACAGTGTACTATTTTAACGAAAAACAACTAAATCACTGACAAGTAAATCATATAGTGTTTTGTTTAGCATTGTAAGAAGTGCAATGGTGAAGTGATATTCCTTGTACAGAGAGAGGTCCATGTTCTCAGGTGACAGCAGTCGTTTTTTAGAATGCTTTGCTATTATTAAAGAACGCTGTATTGTAACCACTCTGTACTGTGTTGCACTAACCGTACTGTATATCCCCCTTGAATGTTTAACATGTAAATGAAACGATTCAACTAAAATAAATACGACCACTACAAACGTCTGGTGGCAAAATGTTCAAGCCATCGTCACGGTTTGACTGAATCGCCTATTGTCCATGGTGCACAGTACACCGGTTTCACTTCAGTTCATCTTCAAAGGATTCAGTTGGTTCGTATTTACAGTAATTGCGTGTAGCCTGTGTACGCCCAGTCAATAAAGATGGTCACATGCTTTCACGATACTTTCACCAGTTACGAGTTATGGGACAACATATAAGTTTACAAACCAGTGATATACGAAATAATTATGACCTAGAATGCAAAGGTCATGGGAATTTCACAAGTGACGTCAGTACGTTGTGACTTACGTGACCATTGTGTTAGTTAGTACTAGAAGACACGTGTCATGATCTATGTAATGTATGAAAACTGGTTATGTAAATACAACACGACATAAACAAATTCAAACTTTCTTATTTAGAATAATGCAAACTCCAGGCACTCTAGACTCAGGCTGTTATTTAAACAACCAGTGTTGTGCTTTATGAATAGGAATCATATAAATGCCAGTACCAACCACAACAACAACGTCATGTCAATGGCATATCATATATCAGGCATCGCACCGTAAAGTACTAGTAGTATGG